GGTGGTGACGCCAGCATCGCCTCCCGCCTCGCACCGGTTCAGGACGGGCGGCACCGAGGCACCTCGACCTGCGCTCCCGCGTGCGGTCTCGCTGTCCGTGCAGGTGGTCAGGCCCGGCGTCTCGTCTCCACCCCAGCCGGCTCCCACTCTCCGCGGCCGCACGGCACGGCACGTCCGTCGACGTCGGCTGCTGGCGTCCTGATGGCCGGCGGGCTGCCGCCAGCTTTGGGCCGTATCGCCGCCGGGCATGGCCGAGCCCAGCGGCCGAGCGACGGCACGCTGCGGCGGCTGTGACGTCACCAGCTGGCGCCAGCCGGGCGCGGCGTGCATGCTTGACCCGGTATTGATTGAGTCATGGCTGTGTAGCTGGCTGCCCGGCCGGCCGCCGAGGGACTCTGTCCGGCAGGGGCACATGGCCGTGCTCTGTCGGTCGGGCGTGCACCGCCGCACGTTTCGGGGGTGCGCGTACGTGTGCACTGTACGCTCCCGATGCATGAGTACGTGGACGCTGTACGCTGAGGTGGTGTGCAAAAGTCGCAGACGTTATGCCAGCGTAGTCTGAACGTGCAACGGCGCCATAGCCGCACTAGGCAGCGGCCAACTAAAGGACCAAGAAGTTAAGTGGATAATATCAGCTTCGAGGATAGCGCATCGAATACTGCGGCACAAAGCGAACGGTGTGTGTGGCCACCCGCAAGAAGGCCCCCTACGACCTTTAGATCCGAACTCGAGTGCCCTCACCACTGCTCTTCCTGGTCGCACACCCCCGCACGCTCTCTTACACAATGCGTGTGGCTGCCTTTCAGAAGACCCCGCACGCCTTGTCGGGCACATATCATTTGACGTGGGCCAGGGCGGCGCTCGTGAGCAGCTGTCGCACCTATCGGACGACGACACTGCTATCACCTGGCCCTGCGCCGCCGTGCCAGGCACACACGCGCAGCGCGTGACTGTACGGCTGTCAGACTGACTCGCGCCTCCTGGCAGATCGGTCACGCACGCCCAGTGACGTCATAATCATCAGAAGCCGGCGCGGAGCGCCCACTTGGACAGCGCCGTACACGACCGGCTTGCATGACCTTTGTGCGCGATGTTGGCATTGTGTTGGATTAGGTGACGAATAGCGTGACTCACAGAAGGGTGAAGGAGTGTCCTGCGATGTGATGTGGGAAGATGCGTCCCAGGTATCATGCGCGGCAGTCAACGAAAGTCGTATATCATTTGATGGGCTTGGATGCCTCCTGGCACTCACGCACTCACAAACGGCACTCGACACTCGTTTGTATCCCAGCTGATCTTGGCCGCAGCATACTCATTTATCGAATGCATGCTGTGCATGCTGAATGCATTGTATTAATATTAGTTACGGCAACGTAGATATATGCATGCGCTTACATGATATAATCCAAATAGTTCTTCTAGATTTCCATTCAGTACATGATGTGAACACAACATAGAAAAGCTCATCGCCTGATGTATATACAGTTAAATAAGAAACCAAGTGCCAGATTACTGTCAGAAACACTAAAGACATAATATGCACCGCTAACAACACTACAAACATGCAAAGATAGAATAGCATTCAAGTATGAGCGTGCATCACTCGCAAGATAGCCGTATCTCAGATTTCCGCCCAGCTGTCCACGTCCCTCACGGCACGCTTGAAGGCGGACAGTGAGCGGCACTCAGACCGATCGGCAGCCTGCGCCACGAGGACGACGCCCGGTATCCCCTCTGTGAGCATGCCAGCATGTATTTTGGCAGCTCCAGCCGTCCTGCTACGGTGGAACGAGTGGCACGGTAGGACACTGAGGACCTGGGGTGAACATGCTGCCCCATGCGGGGGTCCTTTCTGGTAGCTTAAAGCCTTATAGACTTTTGGTAAAGTTCAGTTGTGTTGAGTTGCATCGTATTCGTCTGTCTTGATAAGGGTCGAGCAGCATTATCAGCAACCTTGATTACACTTTGACCGCCTCAGAAAACCTATCCCAATCTGGCACAATGCCTTCACAGCGCGCTAATGACGGCCGTGGTGCATTGTCGTTGGCGACACAGACGGATGGTTTGCACTCATGTCGAGGGGCAGGTCCATTTTCCATTGAAAGCACCGCACACACAAGTGTCGGCCGCCCGCCATTTTTGCCCAGTCTTGACGCCAATTAATAGCCAGCGGAGCCGTCTATTGTCTACGGCAGGGCTCGGACCATTAGCGTGGACCGCCGCACCGACCATCCGACTTGGGCTTTGGCCAACTGGTTCCGCACGCGGTACGGGGCCTGTCGGTGCGCAGCTGATACTGGATCGCCGATAGCCATGGGCTAGCCGGCAGATCGTGCCGCTGCCCAGCCACTGCCCACTGTCCAGCCACTGTTCATTGCCCAGCCACTGTTCATTGCCCAGCCACTGCCCAATGCCCAGCCACTGGCCAATGCCCACCGCCAGGCATGGCAAAACCAGACGGACGTCACCAGCCGTGACGTTTATCATGAAATAAGTGGAAAAGGAAGTCCACAGCGAGAATAGTTCCCGTTCTCACATTCTCGCTAATTCCGAGGTTACTCTTCTCCGGGCACAAAAGCTGCCCAGACACCCACACTTCTCCAAACGATCAAATAAACCCGAAATAAACGTAGGTGAGTTCTTTTTAGAGTAGAATCTCATTTATATGATTCCAACAGGCGTAGACCAGGGTGAGGTTGTCACTTGGTATGCGGGTTTGTATACAGATGCTGACTCACGCAAAAACCGAACCCATCCTTGTTTCGCCGTTTCCTACGAAACCACCGAATCGGTTTTTTGAACATTTTGGAAGGATCGGTACGCCAGGAACAACAGCGATTCGAGTTATAAAATAAAAGCCAGAGGAAGTTCATAGAAATACTTTCTGTCGCTTGCATACTTTTTAATATTTTTGTCGTTTGGCTGAAGGTATCTTTGATTGGTCGGTAAGAAGCAAACTATCTGAGACGAAGCTCGTACCAACGATGAACAAAGTACGAGAAACTAACTTTTTCGACCTACCATTGTCTTCATCTTCGTTGCACATTTTCAGTACGCATGTTGTATCGAAGCGTTTTACATTCTACCCCGAAGTCGCAGCAAACGTAATTGTCCGGTCTGCATGTCGTACACTCGGCACGGGAGCTGGTGAGCGCGTGCGTCCGTCAGTCTCACCTCTTTTCTGATGGAGGGCGGCATTACGGTGCGCTGGCCCGCCAGGCTGCTTGTTTCATCGTTCGTCTACCGCCGGCTATGCCACGGCTGAAGAAACACCGGACGGCGCCCATCACTCACGGGTGGTCGGCCAGTTTGTGGCGGGGGAGTCGGCGGAGGAGTGCGAGGGCTGAGGCGCGTGGAACACGTTGCAGCGATCCAGGGTAACCCATGCTTGGCAACTGGGCGAGTGATTCGGCAGCGTGAGACGTAGAGTTTATTTTTTTTGTGTTGCGCGATTCTCTTCAGCACGAACGAGGGATGTCTGCGGTGGATGAACTAGAGAAACACGAACGAGGGATGTCCGTGGTGGATGAACTGAGAGACTCGCAGGCTCGCCGATGGCAGAATGCGAGGACCACCCAGCGTTGTTTGCTCGCTCAGTTTAGGCTGGACTCGAGGGGACGGACAGCTTTCGACAGTCTGTTTGTCAGTCTGTTTGACAGAACTGCCGGCAATAACAGACGTGGAGCAATTAGCCGTAAATTAACGTAGTGCGTGGCACGAAGGTATCAATCGGGCCGCGTAATCGTGTCCATTGCTGACAGGTTAAAGGTTAACAGCGGAATCAGACGATGATCGTGAAATGAACGAATACTAAAGGGAATGAACGGGTTTTTTTGTTGATCTTGTTCTGCTTGGGCCTAAGTTATAGGCATGGGTACTTTGGGCATATGTAAGTGCACTTATGGTGACGGTTTGAGTGATTTAGTTGAGGAATAGTTAGTAGAGGACGGCAGGTCAAACTTCGCATCGTGGTCGTTCAGAAACCTGCCGATGCTATCTTAACTACGCATACATTCATTTTTCAAGTCACTTTTGGGCATACCAGGTGCTGTTTAGATCTCGCCATGTAAACAGCTGTACGTATCGCGTGCATGGACGTAGCGGCCGTCCATGCGTGAAGCTGGCGCACATACATTGGCGTATTTACTCTAAACTCTGGATGAAAGTGTGTTTTACGCTAAGCTGTTGCCAACCTGCTCGTCTTTGGTGCTGCTCTTTCGCCTCAGTGAAATCGTTGGATATTGTTTTTGGCCAGACTGCTGGCAGAGCAGACGTGTGAAAACAACATCCCGTCCTCCTGGCTTCACAGAAACATTTACCGGCCGATGCGTTTATTGAACTTGGAGCAGTTCATGTACTGCTAACCAGCGATTAATGCTTAAGTGATAATATTTTGGACACCACTGAGCGAGTGAGAGGGCTTCTCATAAAGTCGGCTCACATTCACTCACTGCTTATCTAGCTCACGCACACTTATCCGACGTAAATAGAGCCGTGCTATTGTCCCATAGCCGTGGGAACTATTGTGTTCGGGGGGCAGGCTCAGACCTCGCCCCAAACGTATCGTAGAATATAGTAGTATGCTTGAGAAGTTGCATAGAAATAAACAACATAAAGGGCTTCTGAGCCCGCCCGCCCCCCCCCCCCCCCCCTAAACCTGCACAGACTCCGTCATTTTGGTGTTGTCCTGTACTCTGGTTTTCAGCATGGCGTAAAACTGGAGTACAGTAATTGGGCTTCAGTTCTTTTTGTAACTTGATCACAAAACTGGACTGCAGGTTTTCAGCATGGCGCAACGCTACCGGCTCTAACCACATTAAGGAATTGTGCTATGCTGTAGTGACTCAGCATCCCGAACCGTCCTGCCATGAGGTGCAATGGCGCACCAGAACCCGCGCCGTCGCAGAACGTCTCGTATCACGGTGCTGCGATAAGAGAGCGTGGCTGGCCCTGCGCGCGTCGCCGAGCCAGTGCCGTGACTGGGTTTTGGCCTGTTGCAGGTATGGCGACATGGTGCCCAGCACCGCCATGGGCAAGCTGGTGGGCGGCGTCTGCTCGCTGAGTGGCGTGCTGGTTATCGCGCTGCCCGTGCCCGTCATCGTCAGCAACTTTAGCAGAATCTACCACCAGAGTCAGCGCACCGACAAGAGGAAGGCGCAGAAGGTGGGTGGGTGCACATCCGGGAAGCCAGGAACTTTTAATCGAGTTCCGGACAAGTTATGCGCTGTGGAATGAGGCAATAAAAACGGAAAAGTGGCTCTTTGTCCGCTACATATTATGGCAAGTAATTTAAATGAACGCGTGTAAGGCATCGTGATTACTGCACAACTTCGTTGCGCGGTTCTCATATGACGTTGTTGACATGTTTTGGTTGGTGCACCTGCTTAGTCAGCCCAGTTTCTATTGCAACGCACACAGCTTAGACGTGTTTGATGTACAAACGTGCGTTACACCAAAAAGCACGGTATATTGCAGCACAGAAACGAGTCCGGTAAGCGATCTCGTGCCCAAAAGGCATGAAAACTGGCGGGCATAAGGTGTTGCGTCCCTAAACAACCATTGGCACTATTTGTAAACATTTTCAATCATTGTTGTTGGCCCTGTCGCCCGTTTTTAGCCTCACATCATTGAGCAATCAAAATCATGTTTTGCGTCTGCTCGCATTTGAACATTCGCCGATCAGTCCGTTCAACAAGCATCCGCTAATTTCCCAGTCAACCCTCCACACGGCCCCTCTCGTTATAACCTCGCGCTCCAAACCGTCGTCGCCTTGGATTCGTCAGACGCCTCGCTCGGTTCGGCAGCGAGGCGTCTCGCTCGGTTCGGCAGCGAGGCGCCTCGTCTCGGCCGGCTGTCTACCAAACTCCCTCAGTTTGGTTCCAGCTTTATTGAGGGTCCCGTGGTTCGGCTGCAGTCTCCCCCTCTCCCTCTCTCTCCCTCTCCTTCCTTCTCCCTCTCTCTCTCAGCCTTCCTGACTGTCGCGACGCCGGCTAAAGTATTGATTCAGCACCGTCCGCTTAAAAACCCAACTGCTGCCGTTTCTTTTCATAACTGTACATTTCATATCAAGAGGTCGTTTGGGGCCAAACAGGCCGCAAATGCCGCCGGTACCGGCCGCCGCGCTGCCAAATGCGGCAGGCGTAACTACGCCACTTTCGCCACTGCGCTGTTTTCGGCGCACGTCGCCCCGCATTCGGGCTGAAAGAACCGGCGGTGGTATACGGTCGACTGTGGCGCAGCGGCGGCGGCCACGCGCGGCACAGTGCGCACCCGCCGCCCATCGTTCGCCACCGGACAGCGCTGAAAATTAATTAGCCGTTGTTTGTTTGGTGTAATTTGATTAGGAAGAAAAATAAATACCCGCCTCGGCGTGGATCAATGGGGAACGTTACTCCTGTACCGGAGCTCGTTTTGCTGCGCGGAGCTACGAACGGGTGGCTGGCTCCATGTAAACCTACGCGTGCATCCCTGGCTGTTAGATTCGCTGCGTATCCAGCTTTTATTTCGGGTACTTGTTATGAAAAAATGGGCAAGTAATGATTGCCTAATAAATTGTCATTCATCTACGACCCACACACCACGTCTTCTCAAAGTCGTATATTTTCATACAATGTGATTCATCACACTCCCGTTCTTTGGATAATTTCTGGGCAAAATGATCATGTTTTTCTATGGTTGTCCGTGCAACAAGAAACATCTCTGTCTGGATCGTCAGCAAGCGTTAAATTGTTTTGACCATGATCTTTTTAAGTTGCTTGAGATCATACCTGGCACGCTGGGAGGGAAACGCTAGTCTTCCAAGGCTGTGACGTGTTAGGGCTATACAATGTCACAAAGCACATAACACGCATAGATACGCATGCTGCACTTTTGGCAAGAAACCCTTCTCTGCGTTGCATTTCATCTTTCCCGATTTAACGGGCAGCGGTGTTTGTTGACTGGCCCAAGGCAGAAGAGCCTCTCACAGCAAGGCGCCCTGTGTTGCTAGACTGTGCCGGACGGCAGATCTGTCATGCGGCACAGTGGGACTGCTGGGCTCGTCCGCGATTTTCTTCGTTTCTGTGCGATTGACGAAATGCAAGGGTGACCGTTGCATGGCTATATTGCAGCGACCATTGCAAAAGTCCGATGTGTCAGACCAGCTGCTTGAGCGCGTCAAAAAATAAACTGGTTCACCTTGTCTTTCACTACCCAAATTGTTAACAGAGGGAGGTGATTAATCTTCGTCGTTTTCTTTGGAGGCTACTGCCCGTTGATGACCAGAGCTTATATGCGCATGGTGGAGCGCATTTTGGAATACACGATGATATTTGCATTTTTGTGGTCAAAATATTTGTCTTATTTTGTTGAGCCTGAGCCGTTCGGATAACACTTACATGCCACAGCAATGTCTTCAAATGATGGGTGGCATGTATTATCGAGGCGATAGCAGGTAGTAGTGTTCCACGACAAATTGAACGTGAAAATGAGGGATTATCACCACGATCTCTCAAAAATGGATGAGCACATGCTTATATGTTTATATGATGCTCTGCTGCCACCCATGTAGCGTTCACCTCAATCAGAGCAGCTGTTACTTAGTTGCAGCCAGCGACATTTTTGACAGGCCTCACATCGAGGTTACCTTTAGCGGGCTACCTGCCCCACGGGGAACGGCCATGATAAACATGTTGAGGTATGGTTGATATCGTCTTAAAGTAATGAATAATTTGCAGAGGTTTTCTTTGCATATTTCGTTTCTTCACATTCGTACGGGGAGGTCCGCAGACAGCATAGACAATAGCGTCATGTACTTTCAACCCAATACTGGTTCCACGCCACGACATAGAGCTGGCCTAGAGCGGCCTCAGGGGTGAAAAAGGTTCTGATTTATGGGATATGATCGGTGACAAGTTCGGACACTTGCGAACCAAATGGTGACAAAGTTGTAGAAGTGATAACACACTGCAACAGACCAGACCATATTACAACAGACCATCCCAGTCAGACTCGGGCAGTCAAACTCAAAAGTTAGCATTGGTCTGTACTCGCTAACGTTTGTAGTGTGAGATTATGTACAGCACAGATCGAAACGTTGCCGTTTCGCTGTATGTGCAAGTTGAGCCGCAATACCTTTCCAAACATAGTAGCTTTAATCGGGACAGTTTTCAGTATGTGACAGAAATATACTACAAACTATACTATATCAGTGATGACATCACAGAGTACTGTTAACACAGTGTTTTTCAATGCACCTCAGATCATAACTTTTCAGATTTTTTTTTCTGCCCAAATTCGCTTCACATACTTAGCAGTATGAAATACCAGGTAACTAGGCTTATTTCTAGTTGCAAAGATCGTGACTGGCCACAAAATCTTGCGACGAACGTGACCAGTTTGCTAAGCGGCGTTTCAAAGCGTCGTGCCGTTTGAGATAGATGGGCTCGAATGCTCACCAAGCGGTAATGAGTTGCGTTGAGTGCAGGGCTTTGGGTTGCCGTTGGTTGTGATCATGTCGAGAAAAGCTGTCTGGCTTGAAGTACGCAGCCAATCGTCAGCTGTTTTTTTTTTTTAAAGGCGATGTGCGGCTTTTCTAAGGATCTACTATGGAGGGCGTCTATGGTAGAAGCGTTAAAAAGCTTTTCCAATTTAGCAGGCTTTTTGTTTGTGGATACCCGAGCTGTAGCTTTATAGGTCAACGAAGGGCGTAGGAGCAACACATGTCAAGGATTTACCCGGGCTTTCCTGCTGCTGAGAGAAACAGCAGCTTTGAGGTAAGATACCGAGCATCGCTGGTGCAGAATTCACACCGCCCGTCGCACCTCAGATTTAGCGCTCTGACCGGTGGACAGGTGTGAAATAAACACTTCTTATTGTCATTATGTATGGAGTTAAACTTGCTCATAGAGCTAGTTATAAAGAGCTAAATGAAGGTGCTAGAGATGTTCAAAAATATCGTTTGCACCTGCTGATACCAATATCGCATGGGTTTTGCACTCATTAATTGGGATAATGTTAGAAATTGTGAGACCTGCACCGGCAATACCAGTGAATGCGAGTATAAGGAAGGTTGCCAACGTTTCCAGCTGATTGCACGATGACGTCACACAACTAAAAGGGTTATTGTTTTTTGGTGCTCATAGAACCACGTTATCGGTAGATGTAGGCTACATGGGGGCAGTTTTGGAAAAAAGTAGAGGTGAGGGAGGGGGCACGTGCAGGAAGAAAAATGGCTGAGCCTGCCTCTGAAATGCACTTAAAACAGTTTTCTCACCAGGTTTGACACACTTTCTTTTAAGAGTTGGGAGCAGTGGCGTAGTTTCTCAAACATAGTTTGGGGAGGGCTAAACTCTAAAAAAGGATGATTAGTGAAAAATAGCGAATACAAAATGATAAATAAGGATAGAAAACTACATTTCTGGTTAAGAGGCGCAATCCCCCTCTAAAATAGGAGCCTACGCACCTCTGGACTGGTTATGAAAGTATCCTTCTATCAGATAATTTTGTTAGTTTTTCATTATTATATTCTTATCCCATAATTGCCGTAGTATTGCAGAACAGGGAATGTTTGATGGCTATGCTGCATTGCATTTCAGCTGTCTTTGTCCTTGCGGTTTATCGCATTTAGAGTTATATTGAAACAGTTTCTGATAAAGTTGGCCCAGGCGACAATGTAGACAATTTCAAATTCTTTAGTGACAGAAAAGGCGCGTTTTCGCCCCGGGGTGGCTTGATGTGATTTCACGCTCGAACATGTATCCAACACATGATGTGCGATAAGCGTAGCCCTCAGATCCCAAGCGGGCAGAAAGCCTCTTCCATCATATTTTAAAACTCCTTGTAAAGACAGCGGTGTACATCAATGGCGTCTGATTGCCGGAAATAAGGTCAGGATAACCTCATTTGACCTATGTGTGTCCCAGTGCAATGTGTCTGGCCCGCTGTGGCAAGGGGGTCATCGTACATCTTGTAATATCAAGTCACAAAATGACATATCCCTTTTTTGCTCATACTGGAAACAATGCGAAAAATATGTTTTGCAACTGTGGATCTCATCGCGTTATGTCACACTTAACAGTTCAAAACGCTATCAGATATACTGACGTTACTACGTCAAGTTACTTTGCATCCATTATATGTTACTACGTTACGTTACTACGCTACTTTGCATCCATTTTTTCAGC